GCTTTTTGACCATACTATTATATTTTGTACTCGAGCCAGGACAAAGGAAATTCAGTTTTGATACATAAAATGCATGAATAGCATATCTTGTATAATTTATGACCATATATTTCGATTTTGAAAGAGTAATTTAATACTAATTAATACTAATTTTCATTGATACTAGACCAGCCAATTATTCACCCTGAATTACAAACTATGCTTTTGGTCCATATTACTTTGGCATGAATAATATTTTCCCTAATTCCAACGGGTACTATGTCATTAAAATGCCATTCTGTGTATTGATGAAATATGGCACAAATATTTCAAATGTTCCTGTAGTTATGTCTTCTCTGATACTTTTTCCCATGATGCAATGTGTGACACGGAATAAGAGTTATGTGCGTTCATGATATTGTTATAATTCTGAAAGCTGTTGAGAAATAAAAATAAGTCACCTGTCTGGGTGATTGATTACATCAGGTAATACTGCAGTCATAATTGTTTTATTACATTATATTTATGAATTTAATGTCTGCTTACAGATGACCCACTGGGCTGATCATAAACATTATGCTTTTAGTAATACTTTTATCATGAAATATTTGTGCATAATTCTAAAATATGTGGACCTTAGTTCACTAGAATAGATCTCAATCACAAAGGACTATGCATGCTATGATGTCAACAAAGTTATATGATACTGTTTGTAAAGATATCATGATAGCCTGAAAATATGAACTGTCAGCGACATGTTACACAGTTCATTTCACAATTTGATGGACAAATCCAATATAGTAGGTCTGTTTAGATCAAACCTTGTGTATATAAATTAGAAAGCTGGCTCAATAATCTTGGATGACACTATGAAAACCTGTATGAAATGGCCTAAATATACAACATCAAAGATATAGTTGTCAGTTTCTTCATTAAGGGTGCATTTAATTTAAATTTTGTTATATAATGCGCAATTTAATGAATTTAAAATGCTAATAACAAGTTGGTGCACTATGATTTTAACTAACTAGATTTGTTTGACTGAATGAAGATGCAACCAACATAAACACTAGTGTGATCTAATATGAAATTCCAGTATATATGTTAACATAAATCTGAATGGTATGAGATATTACTTGTATTGTATGGAGTCGTTAGTGGAGTGAGTGCAATTCTGCATTTACTGTATCAATGATTTTTCTCATATTCACATTTACAAACATTTCTTATCAAAAAAATCAATTACGGCAACTTTTACTATCCCAAAAGTGAAACAAAATATGATGAAAATGGCATCACATCCAGTTGTAAGTAAATACAATGTCAAATGTCTTAAAACATTGACAAAATACAACTGAATTGCTATTACATACCTTTAAGTGAATGCACACACATCATTAATACTATGGATCAGTGTTCCCTTTGTCTATTTTTTCAGAATCGAAGATGTGTCCAAGAAACTTTTGTTTATAATGTCCTTTAAGTGTCTCTAGAATATTGAGAAAACATAGATGACATAACATTAATAATTTGTACTTGATTTCTAATAATTCATACCTTCATCACTGCCTGTAATATGACTGAAGTGCATACAACTACAACTGTATAACTGTCATTTATTTGTTTCAGGTGCGTTTCTCATCCCATATATCATATGCATGGTATTTGCTGGAATTCCTCTCTTTTTCCTGGAAGTTTCACTGGGTCAGTTTATGAGCCGGGGTGGAATCATGTGCTGGAAAATATGCCCTCTGTTCCAAGGTAAGTCCTTTCCATCACGAGGAGTGCCACCTTTCACAAAGTAAAGCTCTGATAATCAAAATCCATCCATTTGGTTTGAAATCTTTAATTTCATTCTATCATACAGAATTCAGTTGGAATGGATCAGCAGATGAACTCTAAACACTA